TTATGTAGTAAAGGCCAGCCTTGAACTTACTATATAGTTCAGGCTGACCTTGAATTCCCAACAGTCCTCCTGAGGGCTAGGATTACAAGCATACACAACCATACCTGGCTTCCTTTTCCATTTTTTTATATTCTCACTAAGTTGCCTAAACTGACCTTAAACTTGCGATTCTGCCTCAGCCTCCTGAATACCTGGGATTCTGGGTATGTGCCACCATGCCCAATTGGAATAGATGGGTTTTTTTGTAGGGTCTAGGAGAAATAATGTAAAGGAAGACTGTGGGGAGAATAAAGGAAAAACCTCAAACATGGGAGGACTGGCTTTTTAATCAATGTAGCAGGTTTAGTACCAAGCTACCTCTCAGCCCATTGCTAGCATCTTTTATTTCAGCCTTGTTTTGTTCTTACAATATAGAAGATTGAATCCAGGGCCTCCTACATGATCTGGCTTGTAGCAGATAGCTAACTGGTGGTCTACTTGGTACGCCCAGCTGAACTGAACTAGTGTGGTGCTGGATGTGGAACACCCACCTGAGGATTGTTTTCAGTAGCATAAAAGGCAGCATAGTTCTGCTGAGTGACCTTGTCATGCTGGTTTTCCTGATGAACTTGGCTGTTCTTGTTGGAGGAGAAGCTCAGGAACTTGTCATTAGGAATGACTACGGTTCATTTGCAGGGAGCTCTGGTCCTCATCTTGAGCATCTCTTCTCTTCCTGGCTCCAGAGGGGAAGCTGGTGCACTGCTCAGCCTTGTGGAGAAGCTTGTTGCATTGGCTTTCCTGATGGGAACTCAGTTTTCCTCATCGCTGGGGGTGCTCGGAACCTCACTGTTGCTGAGGGGAGCTCTGGTGCTTACCTTGGGCCTTGCTTCCTGGCTCCTATTCAGGTCCCTCAGCTTGCTGGTACAGCTTCTTCATCCCTCTGGCATAGACTTTCTAGCTTCCACCATTGGCCTTCGGGCCTTGCTAGCACAGATCCATGAAACAGCCTGCATGAGACATTGTTTTGGGCTCTAAACCTCCAGTTGGACTTGTTGGGAGGCATTGTTAAGAGCTCTAGGTTTTCAGCTGGACTCATGGAGGATATCAGGATCCAGGCTCTCAGCTTGATTCTTTGGTCTTTAGTGTCTGGACAGATTTCCTGCTCTTCTTGTATATGATTCTTTGGGTGATTCCGTATAAACTAGTTTAAAATATGTCCTGTATTATATTGTTCCCCTTGGAAAAACCCCAAACCATACATGGCTCAACCATTATTTAATTGATTTTTTTCAGTGCTATGGATTATACCCAGGGCCTCGTGCATACACTCTACCATGCGTACTTTCAAATACTTTCAAGCACTTGTGCTAGCCCAGCACACTGCCACTGAGCTGCATCTCCAGCCATTTGACCATTTTCCTTTTAAGAACTTCTAACCCTTTAGCTGCTCATTTCTTTTTGTCCCCTTCTAGCCTTATCTTAGATGAAGTTGAGTTTTTTGCATTTGGAACTAGATGAATGTCTAAACTTATGTCTTATTTTCCACTTACGGTTAATTTGTTAATTCCACTTCATTAATCCAGATGGTCTTCATGATTCCTTTATTTTATCTCCATGATTCTTGTCTAAAACATTAAAACATCTAAGTAGCTCAGTTTTTGTACATTCTTTTTGGGATGAATTCTGTAGGCAGTGTTACTGCCTATTCAATCATGAGCCTTTCCCCTGGGCTTAAGCATGGACCCGTTGTTCTCTTGAGAGCCTCAAGCAACTTCAGTGTTATCGGCAGGGCACGTCTGTGCCTGTCTTTCTACCTGGCCAACCTCAGTAGATTTGGATTTTTTAAATTAAGAGACTTTCTTAAGTGATTTTAGTTTATAGAAATAATTGAGCAGAATGTACAATATGCTTCCCCTACTTGTTTTTTTATTACCATCTTGCATTGGCATAGTACATCTGCCACAGTTGGTGAGCCAGTTCCAGTACAGTATTAGTAAAGAGTCTTCACAGAGCTTGCTGTGCGTTTGGCCAAAAGCATGATGTCATGTCAGCCTTACAGTATCCAACAGAAGAGCTTTGCTGCCATGAAGGACCCTGTGGTCTGCCTATTCATCCTTCCCTCTACCCAGGACTTCGGGTAACCAACCACAGGTTGGGTTTCTTTGGTTTTTTGTTCTTGTTTTTTGTTTGTTTGTTTGTTTTGTTTCTGTAGTTTCACCTTCTTCAGAATGTCACAGCAGTGGAATCGTTTGTACATAGCCTCTTCGTATTCCTTCCCTTAGCAGTGTGCCTTGAAGGTGCCTCCTTGTTGTCTGGCTCATTTATTATTCATTTATTTATTTTTTGGTGGGGGGGTCTCACTGTGCAGTTCAGGCCGAGCTTGAGCTCACTTTGTAGCCCAACATGGTCTTGAACTGACAGTGATCCTCTTGCCTCAGCCTCCAGAAGGCTGGGATTACAGGCGTGTGTGCCGCCACTCGGAGCTAACGACTGCTTACTGTTACGCTGGATAATACACTGCTAGAGGGATGCATCTGTTTGTGTATTGAAGGATATCTTAGAGGTTATTAGCCAGTTGTTTGCAACTATAAATAAGGCTGTTATAAATATTTATATGCATATTTTTCCCTGGACATAAGTTTTCAGCTTATTTGAGTAAATGCCCAGAGTGCGTGATTGCTGGGTCATACAAGGAGTGATTAAAATATATGGTGAGGGCTGGAGAGATGGCTCAGTGGTCTAAAGCACCTACTTGGAACACGCTTGGCAAAGCACAGGGACCACGGTTCGATCCCCCAGCACCACATGCCAGCCAGCCCCGCCCCCTGGTGGGCTGAGCAGGCCACACACACACACACAATAAATAA